CGCTATATGCATATTTAGTATAGCTAATTAAATCAATGTCATATAAAGAAATATACGTCGTCGTCCTCGCCAACAGAGATGGTGGATGACATCTATTCATCGTAATAGAAACACGCTTTCGCAACGAGCACTCGATTCGAACTGCGTTAGCGCGATTATGTGTTTGTGGCCGGCCACTCGCGCTCATATTGCCAGTCCTTTGACTCGCGCCCAAAAAACTGACAAAACAGGGCAAGGAGCGATGGACATTATGAGGAGCATGACGTGCGACATGACGAGTATTGTGCAATCGAGTATGTCTCTGCCTCCTTTCCTCGATACTTCCCATGCCACTCGACGAGTGTGTGGCAGAGGGGTAAAACGAAGACAAAATCAAATAAGTACATACACTAACTACCTTTATGTAAAGTATGTAGTTATTCATACTTCACATAAAGGTAGAGCTCCGAAGCAGACCACGTCTATTTGATTACACCTACATCGCCCTGATTCTCTCATTCCATTTTTCACACGCACTTGCGGTATGCTTAAGGGCACACGTGTTTTGGCCTACCCAATTATTTTGAAAATAAACTATATTATAATTTAATATAGGGTAAACAGTATAATGATTGGCACTTTAAGCGATTAATTCTCGAAAATAAACAAATTTGTTATATTTTTGATTGTTTTGTTGGATTTTAGTTTACATAGCCATGAATAAGATGACGCATTAAGTTTAAAAATAATTGTTTTATTAATTTAAAAATCTAATTAAACTATTTTCTAGAGAATTCACACACAATTGTCACATTAGCATAGTGAATGGCATTGTAAATGAAGTATAATCATTGGTACTATTGGAAGTCTTAATAAGTTATACCCAGATCTTTCCAAGCTCCATCTTATGGTTATAAGACTTATTTTAAACAAATCTTCTTCAAATATTTTCCATAGATCTTCATCTGAAAGTAGTTTCGTTGGTCTACCAATCTACTATGTTTCTTTCTTTCTTGGGATACATTTTTGATGTGTCTTTTTTAGTAAAACCTTTCGTGTTTTCCAGAAAATATCGAGAAAATACCTTTATTTCGGATGTTCCTGTTCCATTATGTGTTGGTAATCTATTTTCTTTATAAATTCTTCGGTTTTAGTTAAATATTCTCTTGATATTTAGTAGGTAAAGGCTGCAATCTCTGTTCATCCTGTATTATAGTTGGATGGAGGTTGGACCTATACTGAATTAAAATTTTTCTGCTTCAGTAATTCTTTCAACTTTATATAATGCCAGATTTTTTTGGCTTTGTTCGTCTTGTTTTGTTTGTCAGTTTGTTTCTATATTCGGCTGGCTAATTCAATTTTACTTTTCTCATTTGTGCCCAATTTTTTCATTGTTTTTCTAGCTCCGCAGCTTCCGAATCTTCACTTGTTACTACAAAATAACGGTGTTGTTTACCTGCTTTTTGCTTTTTGATAGGTATTTGGCAATGACAAAATCACCATTCACCTCCAACAAATCCTAAATTTGCTGCCTAGTTGAGGACAAACATAGGGGTTAGTTTTCTTTCTGATACTCTACAATAATCTCTGCAGCTTGTATAGGTAAGCTCTGGTCCTAATAGATCATTATTAAGTGAAAGGATACAAGGCAAATTTGATACAGGTATTTCGGATTCAGTCATTATTCTTAAAATATTTGATAATTCATATGCACGGAACGATGATCATATAAAATGGCTTGCTGTGATTTCGAGGGCATCATCAGTCACTTACTGTAAGCCACTTTGTACTAAATGGGATTTATTTCAATTCGGAAAAAGTGTAAGCCTGCATCTGTTTCAGTAACCTTTTCGTCAAACTGTTTGACAGCCATTCGAAGACAGCTTTACGCCACATAGCTTTGATGGCCGAAATGCAGTGATATAAGCTGGTTACAATAGCCGCGTTGCATTCAAGTTAAGGGCTATAAGTATTATGGCGAGACTTGGGCGAAGTTGCGCCAGCTCAAGATGGGTATGAGCATCTGCAAAAATAATCATTGAAAAATTACATTCTTTATTGTAGGACTAATGAAAAACGTTTAATTCGTAATGGATAAAAAGTTCTGCCTTTATCCACCTATTTTCTGATAAGTAAATAACATATTTATGATAATAAATACCCCTCTCTCTAAGCAATAACTTTTTAACGTCCGATCGCGTTTTCTATCGGGGGAAAATAATCACAGATTTTACCGTCTACTCCAAAGCACAGTGATCAGTGATGCAAGACTTCCATTGGGCATGATCCACATCACAGACGTCCTATTCTCCCTCTATAAAACGGTTTGGTTTGGGTTTTTTGAATAAAAACTCCATACCAACATGGCCATTTTTTATGACATCGAAAACTGTGTCAGGCACAGGTCGACTTTTCAGCTTCTTAGTTTTTTTGACTTTACTTATTTAGCGGGAATGTTAAATGTTTGTGCGGCAGTTATTTTTTCATACCATTTTCATAGCTTCCAAAGCACCCGCTCTTAACTATCGGTATTATTTTATCAATCTAAAATAAAATAAATTTTGATTAATGGAGGAAAGATGTAGATATCTGTGGACAACAGCATCCACTTACCATCAGTAAAATAGCAGCTTAATGCTACTATGTTTCGTATGGTGCGTATAGAGAACCGGAGTTCCCGGAAACAGGCATTCCATCTTAGTCCTCAAGGGTGACAACGTATCAGTATTTTGAGCAATGTATCTGCATTTTGATTCGAGGATAGATATAGATGTCTATATGCGTCACGGCATCCACGTATTATCAGGTAGACTGTATGCTCGTTTGCCACACTTAGTCTATAAAAAAGGTGGACGGTTTGCTTGTTTGTCTAACTTGTTCTATAAAAAAAATTACATCTCCAATAGCTTGAAAGATCATCTTTGATTTTCTGTGACTACCACGCTCATCCAACGTAGTATCAGACCTCTCGTACCTTTGAAACTGATCCCGGTCGCTGGCCATGGCTAGGTATATTTTTACAATTGATTTAATATAAAAAGCCAGTAATATTGCCTTCATAAGGACCATGAGATGTTCCTAACCTTACACCTATTGGATCAGAAAGGGCGGCGATTTCTCTTACGCCTCATCACATGGCATTAAGTATCTTGTACTGTTATTTATTCTGTGCTACTACTTAGGTATGTTGCTGATCATAATTTTTCTTTTCTATTAAGCACGACACACACGCTGTGTTAAATTTTTATTAGTTGAACTGACGTACATCCAAAAACTGACCGTGAGTGTGAAATCTTAACTGTCTGCAACTCACGGATTTTTTCGGACGCATGATCAGTTAAACTGATCAGGTGAGCTGACCGTGTGTCCTAAAAAACCTATATCTGTTATTATAAGTAATAAATGAATATAACTTTTATACCTTTGTGGTATTTAACAGTATTGATTTAATTTTAACTCTTCCTAAATAGTAATCTCCTTACGAACAATAAACATGTAGATATGTAGATACCTACACACCTAACTAGCATTGATAGGTCCAATTCAATCAGATTATGAAGATAATATAAAACTTTAGACGGAGGAGTACCTATACGAAGACAACTCAATATTAATGAACCATATACTCAATTATTCTATTGTGTCTAACTTTTTTATCACCACGTCAACTATTAGAAGTCATAGCTGAACATACTTAGGTACGCCTTTTCACAAATGCGCCGACTGTCAAGCATAACTGGAAAGATTTGCTCATGCTCATTACGCAGAACAGGCGGGCTTGTAACAGTGCATTGCAGGTTGGTGAGCAAACTCGCACTGCTTCTGCTTCATCTAGTCTAGAAATAGAAGAGAGATAGAAGTAGAAGAATAGAATTTTGTCAGCCAAGTTCGGAAAAGAAAAGAGTGACGCACCGGCAATGTGTATATTACAGGAACCATCTCGAGCCACTGTCGAACCCCCTTAACTTAAAAATTATTAAACCTACACACTTATAATTTTGCATAACTCATAAAGTGAAAATTAATACCTAGAATCCTAAATTTTATGAATAATCCTAGTAAAGGTGTAAAAATAAAAAGTGCAATTTTTCAAGCGACTTCAAAGGAGGAGGATTAATTTACCACTTGTACATTCACTGACTTTCCTCATTAAAAACTTAGGCTACTTCTAGGTTACTTAGCTTAGTATTTAGCATTAAGTTAGATTAATAATCGTATTCAAAGGCAAAACCAGAAAAATAGATATTATAAAAAATTATTATACATTGAAGTATAATTATTATGAAAATTGAGTGCCGAAAGTATCGACAATGTTATTGGTGCGGTTATTTCCAAGTATATCATCAACTAACCGCACCAAAAACTTTGTCGACATTTAATTAATTTTATTCAAAAAAAGCTACGGAGGGCTATACTCGGGGTTTCTCTGCGTGATAAACTTAGAAATGAGGATATCCGCAGTAGAACCAGTGACCGACATAGCCAAACGGGTTAGTAAGCTGAAGTGGCAATAGGCCGACCGGCCATATAGCTCGAAGAACCGATAACCTTCTCGAGTGGCAGCCTCGTAGATTCTTCTTCCATATTACTTTTATCATTCTTTGAAATTCGCTCAGACAGGTATGAAAAATCGAAGGACTGGCCAACATCGGGTTTCAAAGTATCCTAGGTACCTACCTATTTGCTATTTCTTGTAATAGTCTACATCAAAATGCCAAATTGTAACTAAATTTTATTATTAACCATTTTAGTATGTACTATGATGGAGCGATAAACATTTAATTCATATTAATTAATAGGTATTTTATTTTAGTAGGTAATAAACAAAATCAATTTTCGTTTCCTTGACGACGATAACATAACAAGCGTAAGTGGCATAAGTCCTAGCAATGGTTAGTTTCTCCTGAAAAATATTGAATATATGTAATTTAAGATTTTAACAACATAGTTTCCTATTTAGTTCCGTGAAAGTAATTTTTAAATTGTGTCACACGTTTTCAAGTGTTAAGTGAAACTATACCATGCATAATACAAAATTGAAAATTCTAATGATCGGACCGTGTGATGTAAGTAACATTTTAGCTTTCAGCTCAGGACCCTTTGCAAAAAAAACTATTTTTACCAATAGGCTATTCATTATTACAGAGTGGAAAAACATTAATAGCAAACTTCATTTCTGAATCTATAAATTTAGACGAAGTTAATATTACCAGGCCAACCCAAGGTGTTCGAATTGTTGAATTTGAATTGTCCAACTTAAATGTGAATGGAAAGATTCATAATGTTGATATAGAACTATGGGATTGTAGCGGAGATCACAGGTCAGTATTGTTTATTTTTTCTACCTACCAAGTACTTAATTTGGTGTTGGACATGAGTGAAATTGTGGGACAGATAGATACACAACCTCGTGATTGGGTTATTTTAAGCTACTTTCTTCAATACCCAAAATATTTACTTTCCTTCTAAGTTTATTCCAGGTTAATTTGGAGCTAAACGATATTACATTTAGGTTTCTGTAAAGGTTAATTTTATGGTTTTTATTTTTAAGATTTGAATCCTGCTGGCCAGTTTTGCGCCTTGGAGTTCAAGGGGTCATATTAGTTTGTTCGTCTAATACTATAAATACTGCTGGAAGAGAAATGGAGCTCCTGTACAATTATTTTGTTTCACAACCGAAGTTGTCTGCAAAACAATGCGTTCTTTTTTACAATAATATAGAAGAACAAGACGATATGGAGTCATTAAATTTATGTATGTCTTACACTTAGATTACAGTAAAAAATAAACTGCATAAAATGAACGTACACTGTTGTACTGTTTGTGTTATATTTTTACAAGTTGACTTTAGCAACTTACATTAAATTTCTTCTTTCAGCTCCAACTTTCTCGAAAGTTTCTCAGGTGGCTGTGAACATGAAGTCAGGAGGAAATCGTTTAAAGATCGATTTTTCTAACTATATTGCCTCAATTTTGCAAACACTAAATAAAGATAATTAATCATAAGTGTAACTTTTATTTTTAATATCATACGTGCCTTACCATCACAGATACTTACCAATTTTATTCGGACATACACATTGACTGAAAAACATCCATTCATTATAATAACATACAATACCTATAATTACGAAATTGTTTCATAATTATAAAAATAAATAATTTATTACCTAAAAAATCACCCACATCGGACCTGTAACGTTAAATGTTGTAAACACAAGGTTTCTAAAATTAACACAGTGTGTTATGTAAACATACATTTATTTTATTTAAAGTTCGGTAAGCTATTTATCATAACTATTTTTACATCAATAAATCCAAAACGGATGCCCATTGTAGTAAATTTTAAAAATCTTTTTTTTATTTTACAAAAATCATTTGTATTGCTTTCACTTGATAGGAATTTCATTATCTACTGGTTAATGACTGTATATAAAATTATAAGAATCGAATAAAATAGCTATGTGGTTTATTGCTAATATATTTATACATAATGGAACTTGGTGATATTTGAAAATAAGTCGTTGACTATCAAGACGATCATTTAAACGGTACGTGAATGTGTTTAGATAAAGAAAATAAAAAACATGTACTCAGTCTTAAAACATTTGGCTTATATACGAGTACGTGAAAAATAAAGCAAATATATTATACCATTGCCAAAAAAAAACATAATTTAATAAAAAATATATAATTATTGACCAAATTAACCTTAGCGCAAATATTTACACCAACTCGTTAGACCTAGACATAAACTTCTTAACGATCTAATTAAAGTAATGATCCTAATCTAATTTCTATGCAAGTCTGTTCCTTTCTAATAATTATCACCTTGATCACATTTTGTATTTCGTGGAAGGGTTGCTATAATCATAACAATAATTTATAATTTATTACAATTATCACTATGCGAAGAGTATATTATGTACTTTACCTCTAATGTCTATCATTTTTCCAATTACCGCGGTCATTAAAGTTTTTTCTATCTCTGTGCCCTCTCCCAGAGCCTCCGCGATTCCATCGGTCATTCCCTCTTCCACGGTGTCCACCTCTGTTAGGAAATCTCTGGAAATTTTGATCTCCATCCATATAATTAAAGTCGTTGTTACCCGGAGGAGGACCACTGAATGGCATGTTCCCGTAGTTATTTGGCCCACCAAAATTATTGTTGAAATTATGAGGTATATTAGGTGCGATACCGAGCAAACCGGGCGTTGGACCTCCTCGGGGATCTGGTAACGGTTGATTAAAATTATGCATGTGACCTACGTTTAAATTGTTCATATTGGCAACACCACCCATACCCATAGGCGGAATATTCATCATATTCATATTTGCTTCCATTGGACCGGGTGCGTTCATATTACTGTTCATACCGAAAGGTATTGTATTTTGATTGAAGTTAATAGGAGTTTTTAATAACGCCTCCTTCGGTTTCGGCAAATATGAATACTCGCCATTCTCCCCTAAAGATATACCTAAATTCGTAAAAATGTTACACAAAACTGTATTACTTTTAATAGAAGAGAGATCAAACTTTTTACCAGATGACTTCTCTTGCTGGTACTGTTTTATCATTTGCGTTACAGGCGCCAAGTGTTGATTTACAAATATTTTTTGCGTAGAACTCAAGTCTTTATACCAATTGGAATTTTGAAGTATTGTTTGCATTTCCAGTGAATTTGATTTTTGCTCTTGACTAGGATTATCTGGTTCTTTCGGCTTTCGTCTTGGATCGACCCGTGGTGCTGTGCTAGTTACCTTGGTAGGCTTCTCACTATCACTGTGGGATTCGTCCACCGACAATCTAAACACTTTCCGCAGCCTAGGGTCCACTAAAGCTTGTGACTTAGCAGTGCTATTTCTGATATCGGTGTAGTCTGGCCGGGGTATATCAATAGGAATTAGTTTATACGTAATTGGCGGATGACTATTGATAGAGCCATTTATTTCGGAAGCAGGCGTGTAATTGGGTATGGGCTTAAACGGTAATCCTAACCGAAAATCTATATCTCCGCTTGTGCTTTGCCGTAAATCCGTGTCACCAAAAGCAGGCAGTTTGTATTCAGACTGTCGTAAATCAACGTCGGTTCTTCGGCGCCCGTCAGTAGGCTCTCCATCTATGCATTCATAAATCGATACTCGCGGAACCTTTTTAGACGTCTTATTATTATCGTTTACTCTATCTGGAGATCGCCTAGATCGGGGATCCCGTGAGGTGTGAGTTTCTGCTTCTGGAGTACTTTTTTTACCGTCTTGTAAATTATGTTTCATTGTGTTCAGCAACTTTGTTACCTCCTCGCTTATGTCGATTTTTGACAAGTCCCCGAGCCTACTTAGAACGGCCGAAGGTTCTATAACATGAGGCGCGGGAGCTGGTGGTGACATTAAAGATTTTCGAGGTGATGACGCCGGGGACTTCTTTTTGTTTCCCTTTTCTTCATCACTTGAATACCATTTTTCATCGATCAAAAGATTATTATCTTCATCATCTGTAGTCGATCTACGATGTCGCTTATCGGGATTTTTAAACAACGGTTCAGGTTGAAGAAATCTTATGTCAGTATCGCATTCTGCTTGCATTGGCTTGTCATCTATTTTAGAATGACGTGTTCTTGGATCATCATCGGTGAAAGGAAGCACCCTATGATCTACATCTTTAGACTCGGTTGTAATAAGAGGTTTCTCGTTTTCAAACGCTTCATTTGAGATGTCAATATTTTCTTTATCCTTCATAGCAAACTTTAAGGCGTCCTTGGTGTATTGATCTATATCAATCATATCCTTATTAGATTGCACGTCCTTTGCTGTATTTGTAACCACGGAGTCCTCGACTTTCGGAAGCGATACACTTGGCTGAAAACGCATATCAATATCCTGCCCAGGCAATTCGGCTGAAACAGGAATATTATTTGAAACAGGAACTACAGGCGGCACTCTAAGGTCTAAGTCTTTAGCACCGGCGGCTTGACCTATGAACGGTTGAGGCTGTTGATCGACATTATTAATTAAACCTAACTTTTGTATACTCATTGTGTTTAGTTGTATTTCAGTTATTTGTTTTAAAGAAATACCAATACTATTTAACTGCAATACTGTTAACTGTCCTAATTGATCTAAATTTTCTATACCCATTTTGGTAAGATCTGAAATTTGTCTAGGCGTTAATACTCCTGTTAAATTTTTAATATTAAGAACGTTACTTGTGCTTGTGTTACCATTAGGTGACAGGTTCATTCCAAAATTCGGATTTGAGCCTTCGTTTTGCCATCTCGACTGTCGTACCTTCGGTGATACCTTTTGCCTTTCGTTGTTATATTGGTTCATTTGGAAGCTATCCGGAGCATTTTGAGGATTGGGAATATTTAATTCGAAAAGAGACGGAATACTTCTCTCTTGACATTCAGTGTTTTCTGAAAATTGTTGCATTAGTTTTAGTTGAGTTGTTTGAATCATTTTTAAAGCGCCCTCCCTATTTAATCTAGGGAAATCTCCTAAAATTTCTTTAGGGGCAGATTCTATATGCTTTAGAAGAATATTTTTAAGACTTTCGTTTAAAGGTTTACCGTGTGCGAACTTACACTCGTCTTTATATATACAAGGAAGCCCTGTGTGATAGTATTTACAAGGGAAATCTGCGTGCATATATAAACACTTATCTCGTTTCGCACAGCAGTCCATTAGATAAAATTTACAAAGCTCCATCTTTCGAGGAGGTTGAGCATCATGAGAATAAATACAGTCATCACCTTTATGGCATTTTCCTTGCATGTAGTATAAGCAAACGCCGTCAGGATCTTGCATCGGGTGTGTGCCTCTTCTCCTATCATTTTTATTATTTTTATTACGTTCACGCTGAAGCGGCCGTTGTCTCTGGGAGCGATGCTGCTGGTGTCCCCTGGAATCGTTACTGCTATCGGAAGCGTATGAGCTATCATTATCTTCGTATTCTTCAGCTGGAGAATGTTTTTGTACAGGCGATGCACCTCTAACGCACATCATCTCACTTTCATCCACTTCATCGGAATATTCTTGTTTCTTACGTTTTCTACTCGACCCATCTTTACTGTCGTGTTTCTTTCTTTTTCTATACTTACGACGTTCTTCAACATCCTCACCAGTTTGTTCTTCGTTATCATCGTTCTTATTCATAGCTTTCCTAATTGCTTTTTCAATATTACCAGCAAAGTCATCGTCAACTGGACTAGCATATTTACGACTCTTTTTACTTTTATCCTTAAACTTTTGCTCACCTTTATGTGATTTCGATTTCTTTTTCTTACCTGATTTTGAATAATAAACCTGTTGCTGTTCTGCTTTATCAAGGTCTGGTTTTTGTTCAATGTTTGTATCTAATTCTTCAACTTTACCATCATTTACAATATCATTCGCTTCTTCACCTTCACTCTCAATCTCGCCGTCTTCTAAGTCTTCCGACATGACATTTATAGTTGTCTCTGCCATCATGAAGGACTCACTGGAATTGAAAAATATTTTGATTATTACGTATACGCCCTATTTCATTATTTTTAAATTACATAAACATAACATTTTATAAAAACAAACATCAATCAATTTAATTTTAAACGTAGCTGTCGTAGTTGTTTGCGGTTCGCAACAATTAAACATTACATGTTCTGTTAAAGAAAAAATATAATACTAGTCTTCAAATTTTTATCTGTCTATACTTTTTATTTTATTAGTATATAATTGCTGTAAATATTTAGTATTTCCTGCGAAATGTTCCAAATTTAATATAATAAAATTAAAAAAAAAGTTTGCACCCCAATCATTTACGCGCAAGTAAAATACGTTTAGATGCATCAGAACACTACAAATGTATATGTTTCTAAGACGACAACAGCTACTCCCAAGGTTTCCATTGCAAACATGAAGAAAATAAATTTTATATTTATCTAGAAAATCCTCTTTAATTTCGGAAAATAACAAATATGTTTATAAATTTTAATGGTTAGTATAATGTGTGTAAATATTATTTT